AATTAATAAATGTAACTAAAATATTTATTTGATTAGTGCAGCTCAGAAGGGCAGCTCACCTGCAAGATGTCCTTCATGCGAGTCCAAAGATCAAAGATGTCTGAATCCATTGCAGGGGAGCTGGTGCATGAAATTAAACATTATTGTCAGTCATCATTACAGCATCTACTGCCTGGAGTGTCCTTTCTGTCCTTTGTGGCTTGACAAGCCCTGTGGTCATTGGAAAAACACAAGCAAAGAGTTAGACATCCTTGTTCTCTTGCTCTGGTGCTCAGAATCCCAGGACCTGACTGTCTCAGACTTTGTGGGACACATTTTGGAGAGAAAATCCCACCTGATGCTCTTAGGAAGGAACTGAGCAGCTCCTTTCTGGATAAAGCAGAAATGCTGACTCCTGTTAAATGCTAATGATGCAGCATTTTTCCACTTGGAAAGCCATTGGAAATTTTCGGCTTAACAAGGAGATGTGGTGTGTGCTTGGGGGAATTGTGAAAGCCTCATTCTGTCTGGGTTTCACCAAAATCCTTGCCTGGTGTGGAGTGTCAGGCAAAAAAATCTGGAGTCAGACAACCTGTGGAGTGGTTAGGAGCAGGCAGGGAAGTGGGAGGAAGGAAAAACATGACAACATCACTGTAAAATATATTTTTCCAGATGACACAAAGATATGGGAGTCCACTTACTCACAGAGACCTGCCTCAGTGCTTCTGCTTTTCCTTCTGCAAGGCGAAGCGGATTTCTGGGTGGAGTCACCAATTTGGCAAAAAACTGTTAACCGCACCAAGCTGATGAAGACAGTAAATTTGTTTCCTCTTCACGCCCAAGTTGTCCCAGCCCACCTCCAGGAGCAGATAAAAGGGAATGCCTGGAGCTGTGAAGCCAGAGAAGACTCTGAGCGCTTCTCTCTGTCCTCAGCACCAGCTCAGCTCTGTGGATCTCCTCATCTTCCCCAGTTTCGGCTCTTTTGAGGAGAAGCAGTCATGTCTCGTCAGTCTGTCTGCAGGAGCTTCGGAGTGGGGAGCAAAAGGGGATTCAGCTCCTGCTCTGCTGTTGGTGGTGGCTTTGGAGGCGGCAACCGGAGCAGGATCAGCTACAGCTCGTTCTCCACATCCAGGGGGATTGGAGGTGGCAGTGGACGCTGTGGAGGATTCAGCAGCCGGAGCCTCCACAACCTGGGGGGCAGCACAAGAATTTCCATGGGCAGCTCTTATGGCAGTGGCTACGGATGTAGAATTGGTGGCTTTGGTGGAGGATTTCCAGGAGGATTTGGTGGCATTGGAGGAGGTGTCATTGGTGGAGGAATGGGCTGCTTTGGTGGCCCCATCAGAGGTGGCCCCGGGTTCCCTGGAGGCATCCAACCAGTGCAGGTGGACCCAACCCTCCTGCGGCCAGTCCACGTTGACATTGACCCTCAGATCCAGCAAGTGAAGTGCCAGGAGAAGGAGCAGATCAAGACTCTGAACAACCAGTTTGCCTCCTTCATTGACAAGGTGAGAGGTTGGACCTGTATTTGCTTGGGAATGGGAAAACAGCAGAAATTCCTTGTGCTCTGGAGAAGGAAATATTGTCCTTCTCAGCTCAGTGTTGGGCTGTAATTGTTTCCATTTGGTTCCGTCTGGTTTCCTCCTGAGGAAGTGTCAAAATTTAGCATCCAAAGAGCTACTGAACAACTTTCTCCAGGTTTGGTGGATTCACATTGGTTTTCACTCCAGTGCAGACAGGCCAAAGGGATGGGAATATATTCAGTGACCAAGGTGTTTCTTTAAGTCGTCCTTTCTCTGGGATAATTTTGTCACAAGGAACTTAAAATTTAGGAATTACATTTTAAAAAAATCTCAACCATTTCTTCTTTCACTTTAAGTGCAGATGAGCTCCGTTTAAATTATCTGAACAGGGAGAATGTTGGTTATAAGTGTGCTCCATGTCTTTTAAATATATGATGTGTATATGGAATAATTTCAGTGTCTGAAAGAGGAATGTTCTTGAATATGGGCACCAATGGGATTTCATTCACTGGTAGGTCAAAAAGGATCAGATGCTCCTGAAAATTAATGTTAAAAAATCCCAGCTGGTATTGTAAATCATTTGTAAAATTGGAATGGAAGCAATTCAATAGCTACCTCTTAAAAAGAGCATAGGAGCATAGGAATTTAAGGATAATGGGGAAAAAGAGGAGAAAAAAAGGAGGAATTTGCCCTAGGAAGCAATGGGGAATGATCTATGGCTTTCCAAAGCTCCCAGGAGGTTTCAGCAGTGGGATGTCTCTCTGGTGAATGTCTCTCACACCCTTTCTTGGCTGTAGGTCCGATTCCTGGAGCAGCAGAACAAGGTGCTCTCCACCAAGTGGGAGCTGCTCCAGCAGCAAGGACCAACAGGGCCGAGGAAGAACCTGGATGTGATCTTTGAGAATTACATCCAGAACCTGCGGAGGAGACTGGAGTCTCTGGTGGGGCAGCGAGGCCAGCTGGAATCGGAGCTGCAGAACATGAGGCAGTATGTGGAGGAGTTCAAAACCAAGTGAGTGTGGGGACAGACAGGGAGGGACCAGCCTGGAGAGCACAGCTGATGCAGAGACCCCACGGGTGGAGTGACTTGGGGTCTCAGAGCCTCACCTTGTCCTGCCCCCGCCACAGGTATGAGGAGGAGATCAACCGTCGCACGGCTGCTGAGAACGAGTTTGTGGTGCTGAAGAAGGTGAGTCTGGGAGACACCAGCAGGGATAGGGTGAGGGGGGACAGGAGGCAAAGACATGGGAAGGACTCTGCTCCAAGACGGGCAGATCCCAACAGGAAGAGCCAACAGCTCTTGTGTGATGAAAGGAAGCCGTGGTCCAATTCTGAGATCTTTCCTTTAGGATGTGGACTGTGCCTACATGACCAAAGTCGAGCTGGAAGCCAGGGTGGGAGCTCTGACAGACGAAATCAACTTCCTGAGGTGCATCTACGAGGAGGTAGGTGCTCTCCCTTCCCCTCGGTGAAGTTTTAATGAGGGTGTGGTGGCCAAAGACACTGAGGTTGGACTGGGCGTCTTTGTGGGTTTGATCTGGAGAGGTTGCCTGGAGCTACTGCTCTTCTCTCCTCTCAAGAGATGGTGCCTCTGACTCATGTCTTGGTTGCAGGAGCTGTCTCAGATGCAGACGATCAGCCGGGACCTGTCCGTGGTGGTGTCCATGGACAACAACCGGCACCTGGACCTGGACAGCATCATTGAGGAGGTTCGGCGCCAGTACGAGCAGATCGCTCAGAACAGCCGGGCTGAGGCTGAGGCCTGGTACCAGAGCCGGGTGAGTTGGGAAGGGGTTGAGGCACCTGAGCTTCAAAACCACCTGAGTTTTTGTCAGTTGTGTTCTTGATGTGTGCCTTTGTCCCCACGCCTACAGTATGAAGAGCTCCAGAGCACGGCTGGCCGGCATGGGGACAGCCTCCGCAACACCAAGATTGAGATCCAGGAGTTGTCCAGGAATGTCCAGAGGCTGCGGGCTGAGATTGAGAATGTGAAGAAGCAGGTGGGGGTTGGCCAGTGTCTCACGGATTCTTTCTGTTTTCCCTCCAGTTTGTGTCACGAGGATGCTCCAGTAGAGGGTGGGCAGAGGGAATTAGGAAATTTACTTTCTTCTCCACAGAACCAGCAGCTGCAGGCAGCCATTGCTGAGGCCGAGGAGAGGGGGGAGATGGCCGTCAAGGATGCCAGGAGGAAGCTGGAAGAGCTGGAATGTGCCCTGAGCAAGGACAAGGAGGAACTGGCTCGCTTGCTGAAGGAGTACCAGGAGCTGCTGAACATCAAGATTGCACTGGATGTTGAGATTGCCATGTACAGGAAGCTGCTGGAGGGGGAGGAGAACAGGTGAGACCTCCCACCATTGGCTGGGCCAGGCTTTTGAGCCCCGTGGGTCAGATTAATCTTTAATCATTCCTCACAACACATTTAACATATAAAATTTGATTACTTTCCTTTTCTCCTCCAAAATTTGAAGCCCAAAATAGAAACATGATTCCTACGGGGAATACTTCTCAGGGGGCTTGATTGGTCTTACATGAAACATGATATAAAAGGAATATTTGGGAAAGAGTTTTGCTTTGGACTGTATATAGATTTACAGCTGGTGTTCCTCTCCCTACACAGGCTCTGCTTAGAGAACCCCTCCAACGTGAATGTCTGTAAGTATTCGCTCATTGTTTTCTCTGCCCAATTACCTTTATCTTTGGTTTTGTGAAGATCCCCAGGATGTTGCCTCATGTTCAATGAGCCTCTCCCTCTCTTCCAGCCGTGGTAGGCAGAACCACTGTGTGCGGAGGCAGATCTGGAGCCAACTTTGGAGCCAGCAATGGCCTGGGTGGAGGAGTGTGCACGGTCGGTGGTGGAGTGTGCACAGTCGGTGGTGGGAACATCATTAGCAGCAGCTGTGGTATGGGAGGAGGGATCCTCAGTGGTGGCTTCTCCTCTGGGAGTGGGAGGATGTGCAGCACTGCAGGTGGCAACTTCATGGCTGGGGGGGGCTCCTCCTCTGTGCGGAGATGCGTCACCACCACAACGGTCAAATCCTCTGGGGTCAAATACTGAGCCCTCCTCTCCGTCCTCCCAGGGAAAGCAGCACCTTCCTCTTCCTCCCACCAGCAGCACAGCCCCCTTCCATCCCCATTGGTATTCAGGAGGAAAGAAACTGTTTCTGGGGGAAATCTCCCCAAGTGAGATTGAAAACAAGACATATCCCTCTGGCCTAGCCTGGCCCTCACTGAGTCCCACTGGGGTAAAACATCTCCCTCATGGGTCCTCGGCACTGCAGAGCTCCCCAGCACTGCTGCACCAGCTGAGGAGGAGCCTTTGGAAAACTGCTCTTTCCTGTCACTTTTTAAGTCCTGTGTTTGCCCCGCACACCTCATGGGTCCCCTCATCCTGCTCCAGCTGTGTCAGGAGCCCACATGAACAGAAGGAGATGATGTCCCATAATCACATTTAGGAGTGAGAAGCAGTTCTCTAGAGTTGTCCACCTTCCCCAGATGGAGTAATTTGGCAGCTTTAATGTTTTATGGATCCTTTTCCCTCCTCTCCTTCCTGCCTGGAGTGTGTGGCTCTGTTGCACCCCTCTGTCGTGTGAATCAGCTGCTTCCTGCCAGTGCCCTGGTCCCAGGGTCCTTCAGTACCAATAAACTGCAGAGAGAAGATATTTTTGTGTTGTCTCATCACTTGACAGTCCCCAGTGGGTTTGCCCTGGGTCAGGGTGATTGCAGGACAAATACAGACTGAACAGAGAAAGAACTGAGGGCAGGTCTGAGAGGAGGACCTGAGGGTGCTGGTGGGTGAGAGCTGGACCTGCCCCAGCCCAGAGATGCCTGAGCCTGGACGGAGCCCCCAACATGAGCAGCAGGGGAGGAGGTGTTGTGTTCTGCTCAGGAGAGATCCCACCTGCGGAGCTGCTCCAGCCCTGGGGCCCAGTACAGGGAGGATGTGGAGCTGCTGGAGTGAGTCCAGAGGAGTCCATGGAGCTGCTCTGAGGCCTGGAGATCTTCTGGGACAAGGCTTGGAGATCCGGGTGTTCACCTGCAGAGCAGGGAAAGGAGATCTTTTGAGTGCCTTCCAAGGGGCTCAAGGAGAACTGGAGAGGGACTTGGAAAGGGAGTGATGGGACAAGAGGTGATGGCTTCAAACTGGAAAAGAGGAGAGTTAGATGGGATGTTGGGAAAAAATTCCTCCCTGTGAGAGTGGTGAGGCACCAGAATGGACTTCCATGAGACTGGCCCATCCCTGGAAGTGTCCAAGGCCAGGCTGGATGGGGCTTGGATTAACGTGGGATAATGGAAGATGTTCCTTCCCAGAGCAGAGGGTGGAATGACATGAGCTTTAAGATCCTGTCCAACTCAAACCCTTCCATGATCCTATTTTGAGCTGATTTAGATTATCTTGTGGGAATGTCAAGATGTTTTCTTCAGCATCACCCTGAGAGCTAGGATTCATTATTCCCACTTCGGGTTTGGGCTGGCTGGAGGTGGGCAGAAGCTTGGAGCAACGTGGTCTAATGGAAGGTGTTCCTGCCCATTAAGGAATGCTCTGAATCATCTCCCTCAGGGAAATCTCCAGGGCCTTGCCTTGGAAGAATACACCATAGAGTTTTCTCCACCTAGGCTGATAGACAGGCGCTCTGCAGCACTGCTGCCAATCCACATTAGATTGCCTCCCCCACTGGCCAGTTGACACTGCCCACCCCAATTGTTCATTCCTCATTGCCCCGCAGGTTGCTGCCTTTTGCCCTGCCCTTTGCCTGCCTCTGTGCCCTCAGGTCATTGGTCACTGACCCCACACTCAAGTCATGCAGCCCACATGGTTTGGTCTTTTGTCTCTGATCCCTTTGGTGTGGTGGATGCAATAAAACTTCTCTGGAATACATCATGGAAAGATCCTTCCTGTCCTTCCTCTGCTGAGCTATCTGTGGCACGTGTGTGTGTGCATGGACTTGAAATGGCTGTTCTCGTGGCCTTACTCCGAGCGGCTGCTGAAGCAAACGCCTTGAAGAAGGTTGCAGCATTTCTACCACCCTGCCACACTGCAGCAGCCCATGGCAGGAGGTGGAACTGCATGGGCTTTAGGATCCCTTCCCACATTCTGTGACCATCTCATTTCACCTCCTGCCTTGGAGGAGTCTCCAGTGGGTGGTTGGAGTCAGGGTGAGGAGGATAAATCCTCCCCAGGGCTGGCACAAGGTTAAGCAGCACCCTCTGCCTGTCTGGCTGGGCTCTTACACCAGCTCCTTGACTGAGCGGTGGGAAGGTCTGACAACTCTTGAGTGGACAAATTACTCACAAAGAAAAAAAAATACCAACAGCATGAAAGAATCCGCCAGAGCCCAGGACCTGCCATCAGAGCTCCAGGTTGCCCAGCCAGCTTAGTCATTAGCCCTCTCCAAATTACATCCCATTGCAACCAAATTAATTTGATTAACGCTTGACTGGTTTTTTCTGTAGCTCTGGGAGGAGCGAGAGGTGAATCAGTTCTGACTTCCCTGCAGTGTGTGTGTGTTATAGGGGGTGGGACCACATGGGATTAAGGGTCCTTTCCTACTTCAGCCATTCCATGACTCTATGATTGATCTGGCACAGACAGAATATGGAAATGGAGATCAATATTGTCAAGTCCTTGTCATCTAAATGAGCAAAATAAGGAAGAAATTATTGTTTCCATTTGAACCAGTTATTTTCCTGCTGTTTTTCTTATTTACCCCCGAATTTCCTTCCAGTTCACTCTCCTGACTTCTGAATGATGTTTACACCAGGCTGCAATGTGTCTTTTCCTCTTGTTTGAGTAAAAAATAACATTTCTGATTCTAAAATTCATAGGTTGGGACCAAACCATGACCAAAAAGTCATGGCTCTGTTTCTTATCCCAGGGAAGAGTCTGAAATAATCTCATTCTTCCTCATCCCAGGGAAGAGTCCAGGGGACAGTTATGGACCCAGGTGGTTCAAAGCCCAGGAATGTCCTGGGGACACCCTTGGGAAGATGGCAGAGAGGACACAGATCTCCAGCCTCTTGAAGTGCAGGAAGTCAAAGGTGTTGACGTCATCCTTCCAAAAACCACAGGATTTTTCTGAGTTCCCTGAGTTTTTCCCGGAGAGGAGCCAAGAGGTGCTGGCGTTTATCATTCCCATCTGCTGCACTCATGAAAAGGGGAGTTGAAGGAAATTGCTATAGTGCATCGTGCTGGGATGAAAGGGTTGGGATCCCCTTTACCTGCTCTGTGGGGCACTGTGAGAGCTGATGGATTCCATCCAGGAATGCCACAAAAGACACTGAGGGGCCGGAGCATGTCCAGAGACAGGAACAGAGCTGGGGAAGGGCTGGAGCACAAGGAAAAGGGTCTGGAGAACTCCTGAGGAGCAGCTGAGGGAGCTGAGGAGGCTCAGCCTGGAGAAAATGAGGGGAGGACCTTCTCACTCTCCAGAACTCCCTGAAAGGAGGGTGCAGCCAGGTTGGGGTTGGAGGGCAGGGAAAAGTCATTGCTCCACTGGGGTCAGGGCATGGGCTGTGCAGGATCTTTTGCATTAGAACATGGGAAGAAACTGAATCGGTTTTATGAGCTCCTTGGGAAGTTAACCCAAGTGGGATTTTATTTGCTGTAATTAGAGCTGTAATGAATTTTTAATTGTCACTAGTCATGTTTATGATGGGAGGCCCTTGGGAGCCACCATGTTTTTTTCCACTGGGTGGGTCATTTTGCAAACATGGAGAAGACTCCCCCAGTTTAGGATTGCTGGGGAGCAGGAAATATTTGCTTTTGTGAAAAGCACTGGTTTGTCACCTGGGAGGAAACCACCCTCTGCATCCTCCAGAGTGGGGTTTACCTGGAACACTTCTCCTGAGCAGCTGGAGTCCTTTGGGATCTTGAGGATGGGATGCTCAGGGGAAGGATTTAGGGAGCAGAGAGGAGGGCATTGAGTCCTTCATTAGTAAATCTGCAGAAAACACTAAGCTGGGAGCGTGTGTTGATCTATTGGATGGAAGGAGGGCTCTGCAGGGAGACTTAGATCGGTTGGATGGATGGGCAGAGTCCAGCATGAAGTTTAATAAGTCTAAGTGCCGAGTTCTACATTTTGGCCACAAAAATCCCCTACAATGTTACAAGCTGGGGACAGTGTGGCTGGCCAGTGTTCAGGTAGAAAGGGACCTGGGGGTGCTGGTGGACAGCTGGTTGAACATGAGCCAGCCGTGTGCCTTGGTGGCCAGGAAGGCCAATGGCTCCTGGCCTGGATCAGGAATGGCGTGGCCAGCAGGAGCAGGGAGGTCATTCTTCCCCTGTACTCGGTGCTGGTGAGGGCACACCTCGAGTGCCGTGTCCAGCTCTGGGCCCTCAGTTTGG